CCTGGGAGGCGGAGGTTGTGGTGAGCTGAGATCGTGCCACTGCACTTCAGCCTGGGCAACAGAGCAAGACTGGTCTCAAAAAAAAAAAAAAGTATCAAAGTGAGACTCATATTTTTCTAATACCTGAGCATTTCAGGTTTTTTCTGGTGGAAGTTCATTGTTTTAACTCTTTAAAATCCACCTACATTGATCCATCAATTCTATAGTTTACTCTTTGGAAGAGGAAGCACTTGAGTGGCAGGCGTAGAGCTTTTCAGGCCCGTGTTCAGCGCAGCCATGCGAGACCCTGATGAGCCCTGGAGTGGGGAAACTCTGCGGTTTTCCGCCTGCCCCTGCTGTTCTCTGCCCACACTGCTGACCGTGTCCTTCGGCCTCCATTCACTTTCTGGTATCATGGACTTAGTGATGTGTCTTCTGCCACCAAGCTTTGAGTCTCACTTTAACATACAGTTGACTCATTTGCTTGTAGCACAGACCCTGAGTTCACTGGATAGGCTCTGTTTTTAGTCCACCTTCTGTCTGGGCAAGTGTGTTTATCTGGGGATGTCAGTCATTAAGGACTGGTAGACCTCGCTTCATTGTGTGTGAATCATGTCCGTGACATTCAGCTTAATCACACCAGGGAAAGAAATCTCCTGGTAATTTTTTTCTTTGCATCTTTTAAAAATTAACCTGAGTTCATCCATCTACTGAATCATTTTTGTTTCCAAAGAATGTTGTATTTTAAGCCTATTTGCCCTCTAAGTTGATGTTTAAAATGTTTGATTTTGGCCAGGCATGGTGGCTCTCGCCTGTAATCCCAGCAGTTTGGGAGGCTGAGGCAGATGGATCACTTGAGGACAGGAGTTTGAGACCAGCCTGTCCAACATGGTGAAACCCCGTCTCTCTAAAAATATAAAAATTAGCTGAGCGTGGTGGTGCACACCTGTAATCCCAGCTACTCGGGAGGCTGAGGCAGGAGAACTGCTTGAATCCTGGAGGTGGAGGTTGCAGGGAGCTGAGATTGCACCAGTGCACTCCAGCCTGGGCGATAAGAGTGAAACTCTGTCTCAAAAAATAAACAAAATGTTCTGTTTTGTTCCTGTTCTTGTGCAGCAGTGTGGAAGAGGTTGTATGGTAATTACTATGAATTAGTGATTGTGCAGAAATCTGAGGTTTGTTTCCTTCTCATCTGGAGGGAAACAGCAAGCGTATGTTCAAGTGCTTCCGAGGGAACATGTCCTTACATTATTTAAACCAATCTGCTTCATTTTCAGAGCTGGTTGATCAGAGTGAGTCAGAAGCCCCCGTGATACAAGGTGAGCGAGGCAGGGGAGGGCCCCAAGCTACTCCTGTCTGCCTGCTGCCGCACATGCATGCCTGTGCGTAGCCTCAGTGCTCAGTTGCCTGCACACACAGTTACACGGCACACACAGTTACACGGCACGCACAGAGTTACACGGCACGCACAGTTACACGGCACACACAGTTACACGGCACACAGTTACATGGCACACACAGTTACACAGCACACATAGGCTGCTTTGTGGTTTTCACTCCTGAGTTTGAAAGGTGATCAAAACATAAATGCAAGCTGTGGGTCCTGATTGAGAACTGGGGGCTGCAGACCATGTACACCCACTATCCCAGGTCAGGCCCAACATCAGGAACCCCAGGATTAATGGATAGACTGAACTGGCAGAGTAAAAGAGCTGTCATTTTAACTTGACTCTGCGCCATCAGTTTCTAATGACTGCCATAAGTCAGTGAGCTAAATGTTGAGCAGAAATGTACACATTGTGCTCTTAAAAATTTCTTAAAAAGGTCAGGCACAGTGTACACCTGGGATTATACCTGTAATCCCAGCACTCTGGGAGGCCCAGGCGGGCGGATCACCAGAGGTCAGGAGATTGAGACTATCCTGGCCAACATGGTGAAACCCTGTTTCTACTAAAAATCCAAACATTAGCCAGGCGTGGTGGCGCACACCCGTAATCCCAGCTACTCGGGAGGCTGAGGCAGGAAAATCGCTTGAACCCAGGAGGTGGAGGCTGCAGTGAGCCGAGATTGGGCCACTGCACCCCAGCATGGGCAACAAAGCGAGACTACATCTCAAAAAAAAAAAAAAAAAAAAAAATGGCCCTGTGCTGTGTGAGTCATTGAAAGTAATGAAGCTGGGCGTGGTGGCTCACACCTGTCATCCCAGCACTTTGGGAGGCCAAGGCAGGCAGATCAGTTGAGATCAGGAGTTCGAGACCAGTCTGCCCAACATGGTGAAATCCCATCTCTACTAAGAATACAAAAATCAGCTGGATGTGGTGGCATGTGCCTGTAACCCAGCTACTCAGGAGGGTGGGGCAGAAGAACTGCCTGAACCTAGGAGGCGGAGGTTGCAGCGAGCTGAGATCATGCCACTGCCCTCCAGCCTGGGCAACAGAATCTCAAAAAGCAAACAACAACAACAAAAAACACAGAAACAGACAAGTAATAAAAAGCTTTTATTAAAGGGAGTAAACAGAATAATGAGGGGTGAAGCATAACGAAGGAACTGGTTGTTTTCACGGTAGGGCTATGTTAAGATTGTTGTTTTAGACTTCAGTTGTGTATGTGGATTTAGGACCACATTTGAGAAGCAGAAATTGGAAAGGACACATGTGAAAGTACACTCGGATAATTGTGTGCTTAATCTCAACACTGGGCATTCTTTCATTGTGCACCTGTGTTTGTACAGAGTCTGGAGAGCTTCTCTCCCTCCTCCTGGAATCTTTAGATAGTATAAAGCAGCTCTTGAACAATGTGGAAATCAGTCTTTGTGTTTCTCTTTAGAATCAGCTGAACCAAGCCAGTTGGAAGTTCCAGCCACAGAAGGTAAGAGGGCGGGGTCGTCCTGCTATACAAATCTGAAGTCTTTCAGACTTTTTAACTTATTTATTACTTATTTAAAGACAGAGTCTTGCTCGTCACCCAGGCTGGAGTGAGATGATGTGATCTCTGCTCACTGCAACCTCCACCTCCTGGGCTCAAGCAGCTCTCCTGCCTCAGCCTCCCAAGTTGCTGGGATTACAGGCGTGCACCACCATGCTTGGCTGATTTTTGTATTTTTAGTAGAAACGGTGTTTTACCATGTTGGGCAGCTGGTCTCAAACTCCTGACCTCAAGTGATCTGCTGGCTTTGACCCCAAAGTGCTGGGATTACAGGCATGAGCCACCTTGCCCAGCCAAGACTTTTATCAGGACTAAGTGTTGTACGTTTAAACGATTTCACTAGGACTGGGTGATGGTTTTGCTCTCTCTCTTCTGGGTGAATTGGATTTGCAGGTTGTGCTGTTGACAGATGAGGCATAGCCGCTTTTGCTTCACTTCCCCAGATGACTTGGTGAATTCTACCTGAAAGGCAGTTGAATGAATGACCGCTACATAACCTAGATAATGGTGTCCTTTAAACACATATAAACCAGAAGATGTATGTTACTTGGAAAACATAAGTAACAGAATCTAGAATGTACTGCTCAAGAGACGTCTCTCTGAAGCTGTTTTCCTGTTTGGTGTCTTCTCCTCCTTATTAAACATATCTTAGTAAATAGCTTGGTATGAATGGATTTATAATCTAGCAGCTTTGCAAAATAATTAACCGGTACCATTTTGTTTCCATTGATAGAAATAAAAGAGACTGATGGAAGCTCTCAGATCAAGCAAGAACCAGACCCCACGTGGTAGACCTCTTCCCTCCTAGGGTAAATCAGCTTCTGTGTCCGGGACACCGTGTAGTGTCCATCTGAACCCCCTACATACGTGTAGCTAATGTGATCTCCCTCCTTTAACATAAGATGGTGGCCCCGCCTCCAGGGGATGTGGGAGCCAGGTGGGAGCCTTCCTGGATGGTTAAGCTAGAAGATTCAACAGGGAGATTCTCCTTGGATCAGTATCTCTCAGTGAAAGATGTAAAAGCACTTTTGCCTTAAAAAGAATGTTCTGTTTCTAATCGGTAGAGTAAACGTTGTCCTCCTCATTGGAACCCGCTGAGTCAGAATCATTCGGCTGCCTTTTCCCCTTAGCGATGGTAGTTTCGAAGTCCGACAGAGCTGCAGATCTAATGTTCATCTTGCAGAGTTGACTTACAAGTCCGATCCTGTTATTTCCGATTTCTTAAATTCACCCAAGTTATCATAGGAGGAGTAGGTTGGGACCAGAAGTCAGGAAGCTTTGACAATGGAATTTTTTTTTTTAATCCAGAGACTTCTTGTACTGGAGTTTGCCTTACACTGTCAGCTCATGGACTTACACTTTCATATTGCTTTATGAATGCACCTGAACCCAAGTCATTGTTATCAGAATTGGCAGATTAAAGTTGTGATGTTCGTGACTGTTCAGTTCCCGTAATTAGATTAACCTGTTTGCTTGCTTCTTTGTTTTCTTTCCTATTCTAGCTTAAAGTATCAGTGGTTGAGAAGAGCTTTTCGGACCTGTTACTACCCCAAGCTGTGTAATATACTTGTATAACAGAAATACCTTCTATACAAACCTTTTTTTCTACTTTTAGATAGAAATGTCTACTTTTTCAGCAGTTCTGTGAATTGAATTAAAGAGCAGAGTGACCGTGGGTCTGAAATGCCTGGTGTAACTGGGGAATGTATTATCAGGATTTTACAGCAATGCTGGAAAAACGACAGGGAAATGTCAGGGATGAATCCCACCAGATTTTTTTATGTACTCAGCAGAGCCTTCAGTTACGGTGTTTATTTTCCAATCAAGTGGAGATACCCCCTACTGGAACATCTCAGCTTCTGCAGTGAAGAAAAATTCCTGTGATAGTTCAGTTCTTTAGTTTTTCTATTTGAAAAAAATCATTTAAATGATCCTTTGTTCACGGCTCTCCTTAATGACTGAGTGAACAATTCGTATCTGTATATTTGACTAAACCTTTTCCTAAGCTGTCTCTCATGGTTCCTATGTTTTTTTTTTATCATAATTAAAAGCAAAACCGTCTGGATCACCTAACAGTCAGAGGTCAGTATCTCAGCGTGTGAATTATAGATTAAATACAGAGAGAAACTCTTCCACTTTTACTTTTCGTCCAAATAAAATGCATGGTGTACCAGAAGTTGAAGACCGGGGTGAGGATCGGGGCTTGCTCGACGACACTAAGGCGGCCTCACCATCGCGGGACCTGCTGCGGCGCGGATTCGTAGGAAGGCTGTTCTGGCCTGGGGTCCAGGGCTTGCCGGGCCGGCTTATTTCCTAGTGCTTCTTGTAACGCCGAGGTGCCGGTGCAGGGAGTGAGGAGGGGTCAGGGGGCTCTTGACGCAACCTCTGACGCGCTGCGCCTTCCTAGGAGAGTCTTACATGTGTTGAGATTTCACAAACGGTGCAAGTTGTAAACTACCAGCTCTACAAGAAGCTAGGCTATGTGACGGCATAGTTTTTCAGTAGCTTTATCACAATATTCACAATGGAGAATTATATGACATGGTAGCAGAAATAGGCATTTTTATGTGTTGCTTCTATTTTACCTCAAATTGTAGATATAGGGTAATCAATAAAATCCATCCATGCCTTTCACACACTAAGGCATTGCTCTCTCGGCTGTCTTCATGGTTCCGTTTTGGGGGGAAGCTTGGGCGTGGCTGGGCATACATGGAACACAGACTGAGGCCGAGGCTGGCGCTGGGCAGAGCCCGCCGTGCCTCCTGGGGACAGCACCGCTTGCAGTGTTTCTGAGACCACCACTGCCCGTCTCTGATCTGGGCCAGGGCCCCCCCCTTCTATCTGGGCTGTGCCAGCTGTGGATGGAGAGCAGCTCACATGCGATTTTGGGGCCAAAATTCCCGGCCATCGAGAGCTGGCACAGCAGCCCCTCCCGCCTGAGCCCACGCACCGGCTCTGGGGCCCCTCTTCTCGGCATGGTCCCTGCCTCTTGCCGTGCCCGGACCACGTGTGCCAGACAAGGACGCTGGTCTCACGATTCGCCTGCCTGCTGACCTGGGAGGAGACTGCTTCTCTGATAGCATCTCACAGTTCTTGTAACGTTTCTTTAAAACGTGCCCCGCTCTTGTTGCCCAGGCTGGATTGCAATGGCACCATCTCGGCTCACTGCAGCCTCAGCCTCCCAGGTTCAAGTGATTCTCCTACTTCAGCCTCCCGGGTAGCTGGGACTACAGGCATGCACCACCATGTCCTGCTAATTTTTAGTAAAGACGGGGTTTTGCCATGTTGGCCAGGCTGGTCTCCCAACTTCAAGTGATCTGCCTGCCTCAGCCTCCCAAAGTACTGGGGTGACTGACGGGCGCTAAGTCACTGCTGGGGCATCAGATTGTGCATTTTTTCTTTCTTTTCTTTTTTTTGAGACAGAGTCTCACTCTGTCACCCAGGCTGGAGTGCAGCAGCGCGATCTTGGCTCACTGCAACCTCTGACTCCTTGGTTGAGGCGATTCTCTTGCCTCAGCCTCCTGAGTAACTGGGACCATAGGCGTGTGCCACTACGCCCAGCTAATTTTTTGCGTTTTTAGTAGAGACGGGGTTTCATCATGTTGGCCAGGATGGTCTTAATCTTCTGACCTCATGATCCGCCCGCCGCGGCCTCCCAAAGTGCTGGGATTACAGGCGTGAGCCACTGTGCTCAGCCTCAGGCAGTCCATTTCTAAAAGGTGGATAAAGAGTGTGATTCTTGGCCGGGCGCGGTGGCTCAAGCCTGTAATCCCAGCACTTTGGGAGGCCGAGGCGGGTGGATCACAAGGTCAAGAGATCAAGACCATCCTGGTCAACATGGTGAAACCCCGTCTCTACTAAAAATACAAAAAATTAGCTGGGCACGGTGGCGCGTGCCTGTAGTCCCAGCTACTCAGGAGGCTGAGGCAGGAGAATTGCCTGAACCTAGGAGGCGGAGGTTGCGGTGAGCCGAGATCGCGCCATTGCACTCCAGCCTGGGTAACAAGAGCGAAACTCCGTCTCAAAAAAAAAAAAAAAAGAGTGTGATTCTTCAGAGGGTGGAGGGGAAGTTAAACTTGCCCAGTAAAATCTTCATTAGCCCAGTAGTCTGGTTTGGAAAAGCAATATAGTTCAAGTAGGTCTCTTCAGTACATCTAATAAGCTCCTGTTTCTGAAACAACTGATTCTTTGGTCAGGCACTGTGGCTCACACCTGTAATCCCAGCACTTTGGGAGGCCGAGGCAAGTGGATCATTTGGGGTCGGGAGTTCAAGACCAGCCTGGCCAACATGGTGAAATCCCATCTGTACTAAAAATACAAAAGTTAGCCGACCATGGTGGTGCATACTTGGCAATCCTAGCTTCTTGGAAGGCCAAGGTGAGAGAAGTGCTTGAACCCAGGAGACAGAGGCTGCAGGGGGCCGAGATCGTGCCACTGCACTCCACATTCCAACCCGAGTTGATAGAGTGAGACTGTGTCTCAAAAAAAAAAAAACAAAACCTGATTTCATAATTAAGGTCAAACAGAATTACTTCCCAGGTAAGGCTGTGGAGTGACTGAGAACAAACCCAGATCTACTTCTGGACAGCCGTTACCTTGAGGACGTTTCTATCAGAAGAACAGTAAAAGCAAGGAAACATCTTCCTCCCAGGACTGTATGAATTAAACCCTGCCCACTGAGTGCCAAGTGCCAACTCCCGTTCCAAGTCCCTTGTCCTTAGCGGGGAGGAAACCAAAGCTTTGTCCCTGCAGGGAGATCCTACAGGAAGGGCCAGTGACAGGCCTGCTCTCAAGTGCTAGAGCAGTGTCATCCGCTTGTGAGAAGGCTTTGCTTTCGCCTGTCCCACCCCTCCCGCCCCCTGGCCGTCCGTGCACATCAGAGTTAGCACAATATATGATGACTTAATTTTTTGTTTTTTGAGATGGAGTTTCACTCTTGCCCAGGCTGGAGTGCAATGGCCCTGTGTCAGCTCACTGCAACCTCTGCGTCCTGGGTTCAAGCGATTCTGCTGCCTCAGCCTCCCAAGTAGCTGTAATTACAGCTGTGTACCACCACACCCAGCTCACTTTTGGATTTTTCATAGATCCCTGCCAAGGAATCAGGAGTTTCTCCATGTTGGTCAGGCTGGTCTCAAACTCCCAACCTCAGGTGATCCTCCCGCCTCGGCCTCCCAAAGTGTTGGGATTACAGATGTGAGTCACCATGCCTGGCTGCCTTAATTTTTTAATTGAAGTCATCTGACATGTAAAGTGAGGTCTGCGAGATTGTTCTGGAACTGTATCGATGAGGACGTTGTTGTCCCAGTCTTATTCAGAGGCTTGGACCCGGGTCTGTGGTACCCTAGAACCGGGCGCTCAGAGAGAGCCCGTCGCCAGTTCATTTTGAAGTAGGCTGCCTTTTCTGAGCCTCCTCCTGGCCTCCCCCTGGGTTTTTTCCTCCAGATACCAAAAGTTTCACCTGAGAGGGAGATGGAGTGCCCAGGCCCTTCTGTTTTCCACATCACACCCTAAGCTCTGGCCTCAGTAAATTCAAGGCACCTGGCAAGCTTAACCATTGGGGCAGATAATTGTCACACACCAGAAGGTCACTTACTGCCCAGTGATCTCTTCCGTCTTCTGGAAGGTCACTGCTCATCTTCCTAAACGGAAGCCCCAGTTTCTGACTTGGGTGCCTGGTGAGGATCTGATGGTCTCAAAAGTGCCTCAGTTTCCCTATGATGGGGAAGAGGAAGGGGGGTGGATTTTCGGAATGGAAGTGACCTGGAGGCCGTTGTCCCTGTCTTTAGACCTGCGAGACCAGGGGGATGTCCGCAAACAGGGCTGTGGGTCCTTTACTCTCAAAAGCATCACTTTCCTGCCTGGAGTTCAGCTCCTGCCTGGATCCACCGTGGGAAGGGAGCTGTGGCTCTCTGCAGTTCACCCACAGCTGCCCACTCTCCTGACTCACAGGGCAGACTGGGCACAGCTTGCCGCCGGTTGTGGAAATCACCCAGGGGTCCAGTGGCCCATCAATGACAAAGGGCAGGTGGACCTGCTCTGGCTGCACCCGAGGGGCTTCTCACCCTGGGAACTGGCTAAGAACCAAGCCCAGACGGTGGCCCATGCTTCCCCTCAGCCGCCTCGCGGTCCCTCCTTACCTGCCCTCCACCCCCACCAC